CCGCGTACACTGGAGTGAGTCACGCAGCTCCGGCTCCAGCACCGCGTACACGCAGAGTTACAGCGAGCGCGTGGAGGTCCTGAGCCACCGTGCCACGCTTCTCGGGCCAGGTACAATTAGGGACCCCCGCGTGGCGCAAGTGCTCGCGCCCTGCGAACCCCTCAGCCACTGAGCCACCCCCTCTTGCTCCTACCTGCAGATACTGGAGAGACAACCACGCTGCCTGCTGGGCGCCACGAGTTCCCATTCAGCTTCCAGCTGCCTCCGTAAGTCATCCGGGGTGCTGGGTTGGGCGGGAGTACCCCTCAGGTTTGGGGCTCCACTGCTTCGTATCTGGGGACTTATGAGCCCCAAGACTGTCTCCGCTGGGAGGCCCTCAGGAGTGTCTCTGTGTCTCTCAAGCCTAAGTCTTTGGGAATCTGCAACCTGCTAGTGTCTGGATGGCCTCCCCCTGAAGCCCCTTCCTTCCACCCCAGGACACTGGTGACGTCCTTCGAGGGCAAGCACGGCAGTGTCCGTTACTGCATCAAGGCCACCCTGCACCGGCCCTGGGTTCCGGCCCGCCAGGCAAAGAAGGTGTTTACTGTGATCGAGCCTGTGGACATCAACACCCCTACCCTGCTGGTGTGTGGCTGGCTGCCCCTGGGGAGGTGGGATGGTAGCCCAGGGGCCTGGCTGCCCGGTGACTCCAACTGGCTCCTCACCCCCTTCACAAACTGTCACAAAGTGCGGGTCACAGTTGGGTCCTGGCTGGGAGGGAGGCGGGCAAGGGAGTGTCTGTTGAGTCAGTGCAGCCTGGAGCAAATGCCAGCTGCACCGATTTGCCTTATGGCTCAGAGCGATTGTCTCACCCTTTCTGTGAAATAGGGCACAGCCAGGGCACAAACTAATAATGGCTTGCTGAGCACTAATTGCATACTCGCTTGCTCGTTTCAATTTTAGCGTCATGAGCTGGGTCATGTTCCTAGATCCATTTCACAGATATTTCCTAGATTGTGGAAAAGAGACCAGGAAACTGGGCCCGAACTCAGGTCTTCCCTCCGCTGGGGATAGTGTGGAAGCCCCACACGGTGACCCATTTATGTCTTTTTCCTCCACCCTGTCAGGCCCCTCAAGCAGGAGCCCGGGAGAAGGTCGCCCGATCCTGGTACAGTAACCGCGGCCTCGTCTCCCTCTCGGCCAAGATCAACCGCAAGGGCTACACACCAGGTAGCCGGCGGCAGCAGCCCGATTGGGAGGAGGGCCAGTGTCGGGGTTGCAGGTGGGGAAACTGAGGCCCTGCCGCTTCGCATTACAGGTGAGGTGATCCCTGTGTTCGCTGAGATTGACAACAGCTCCACGCGCCCGGTGCTGCCGCGAGCAGTTGTGGTCCAGACACAGACCTTCATGGCGCGAGGCGCCCGCAAGCAGAAGCACGCCCAGGGCGGGGGGGGCTGTGGCAGGGCCGGGAGCTTCGGATCCCCCCGGTGGGCCCCTCCATCCTGCACTGCCGGGTGCTGCATGTGGACTACGCCCTCAAGGTGAGTATCATAGGAGGCGGAGGGGGGGGGGTTTGCATCTGCTCTGTCCCCCGGTAGAGCCCCCCAAGGCTGGAGCTGGGGCCCCTGAGTACAGGCAGGGCCTCCTTCTGTAGACGGCAGGTGTGAGAGGCTGCCTGGGCACCCTCCACTGCGGCTCCTTCCTCCAGGTCTGCGTGGACATTCCGGGCACATCGAAGCTGCTCCTGGAGCTGCCGCTGGTCATCGGCACTGTCCCCCTGCACCCTTTTGGCAGCCGCTCGTTCAGCGTGGGCAGTCATGCCAGCTTCCTGCTAGACTTGGGGCTGGGGGCCCTGCCAGAGCAGCCTGAGGGTGAGTGCCCATCCTGGTGTCCCCAGGGGAGGGGTAGAGGTGCCAGGCCAACATGCCCTCCCCAACGTGAATGCCCCATCTGAATAGCACACCGTAATGATCACATTGACAACCACGGACCCCCCACGAATCCCCGGTTGAGGACACACAGCCCAGCAGCTCAGAACTGGCACAAGCAGGCTCCTGGCCGCTGTCCCCAATTCCAGGGCTCCCCGCCCACCACCACCCTCACCCCTCGGCTCTCATTTCCAGCCCCGCCAGAGTACTCAGAGGTGGTGGCAGGTGACGCGGCAGCCGGGGGCCAGAGCCCCTTGCCTCTACCTCAGGACTCCGACATGAGCCTCGAAGGCCCCTTCTTCGCCTACATCCAGGAGTTCCGCTACCGCCCACCACCCCTGTACTCCGAGGTGAGCTGGGGGATCCAGGGAGCCCCCACGCCTTTCCAGGCCCTGGGAGCTGAGAGGGAGGTGGGAGACACAGGGCCTGAACCAGCCTTGAGCCCAGTCTGCTGTAGGGGCTGGAGACGATCAGGGCAGGGCGGGGTGTTTCTCTGGTGCCCCCTGAGGCTTGATGGGTTTGTTTTCCTCAGGAGGATCCAAACCCCCCCTCTGAAGCCATGAGGCCACGCAGCATGACCTGCTGAGTGGGAGTGGACACCTCCAGGGATGAGGTTGCACATTTGCTTCCAGCCCCCGTGGACATGGGGAGTGGCTGGCCCAGGAGAGACCCGCCTGACTGTGGTTGAAGTTTGGGAAATCAATTCTTGGAACGGGGCAGGCCTGTTCACACAGGACAGAGGAAGAGCCAGTCTGGCATCTGACCGAGCTGGTCCTTGTAAGGCATCAAATGGCTGGTGCAGGATCCGAGTGACTGTTCAAGCTGTCTGTGCTGGCCTGTGGACAGGGCTGGGTTCCCCAGGAGCCTCCAGTCTGGGAGAGACACAGCCGGGCACAGATACTTCCAGTCTAGTGGGACCAGAGGAAGGCCTGAGAGAGTCCAGGGAGAAATCAGGGAAGGCTTCCTGGAGGAAAGGGCATTTTAGCCGAAGCTTTGGCATATGAATAAGCTCAGGAGACAGGCAAGCAAGAGAGAAAAGTCAGACAAGGTCAAAGCCGAGTGAAGTTTCGAGACTGCCCCCTTCATCTTAGTAACAGGGCTCAGAGGGCAAGTGCTTCCGTTGAGGTCACGCTGCAAGGTCCAGCAGTCGCGAGGGCGCAGGAATGAGTCATTCAGGGAAGCAGGTCCTGGGAGCTGTGTGGGACCTGTGGTGGCAGGGGCAGCGGCTCCAGCCTTTGAAGGCTCTGAAAGCTGGAGATTCTACCGCAGGCTGAGACCGCCCGAGGGCTTCTCCAGGCACGCAGACACGGAGCTGTGTGGCCGGGAAACCCAGGTTCCGAGCGGGACAGACAAGATGTGCTACATAACTTGCAAATGAAAGTGTGGGGGCCTTGTTCAAGGAGGATGAAGAATTTCAAGATAATGACAGCAGAGCATTCAGCCAGGCCTGGGACAGAGGTCAGCCTGGGGTGACACAGCAGGGCCAGTGTGCTTCTGGAGACCCCTGTGTCCAGAGGGACAAAGCAGGAGGGAGTGGCTAAATAAGCCCCCAACTGCAGAGTCCCGGCCTGGGTCTCAGCATTCCTAAGCCTTAAATTGTTCTCTTTTGTACAATTATTTTTTTAAATAAAAGTGTTGGAAGGAAGAGACGAGGCTTGTTGGTTTCTCTTCCCCCAGCTGCTGAGGAAGCTGGGGTAGCCTTGACTACCGTCCTGATCGGATGCCAGGCCAAAGAGGGTTGAGGGGCCCATTGTCCAGAAGGGGAAACAGGCCCAGGGACACACAGGGAGGCTGAGCTCAGGTTGGAGCCAGACCCCCGCAGCCCTCACCTCTCCCCTGGTGCGGGCACAGGTGCTAGTAACGTGAACGGTGAAGGGCAGGAAGCTTCTGTTCTCAGCAAATGGAGAGGAAGAGGCTGGGCTGGATGGGGTTCTGGGCTGCAGGAGGTCCTGACTATCTGAATCTGGGCTTTTTTCTTTCTTCTTTTTTTGAGATACAATTCTCATGTCATAAAATGAACCATTTTAAGTATATTTTTATTGATTTCAGAGAGGAAGGGAGAAGGAGAGAGAGAGAAACATCAATGAGGAGAGAGAATCATTGATCAGCTGCCTCCTGCATGCCAACTGGGGATTGA